CAGTAATCGGCCCTGCGACATGTTACCACACAGTTGCTCTTCCTGGCTCAAACTGCCCCCGCGCAGCCACTATGGCGGATGCGCCTGCGCACTCGGCATGGCGGAAGGGTGGCCAGCTGCTGCTGCTAGCCCACGTTGTCGCGCTGGCGCCAGACCAGACCAGACCACGTCAGACCAGACCAGCCCAGACCAGACCAGACGAAGACGAGACAAGAACTGACCATACCAGATCAGACCATACCAGACCATAGCAGACCAGGCCAGACCAGACCAGGCCAGGCCAGGCCAGGCCAGACAAGGCCAGACCAGATCAGATTGGGAGGACGCCCCCCCAGGGTGTCGATCCCCCATTGTCCGCGGCCTGGGTCGCGGCCCGGCCGGGCTCAGCGCTGGCGAGCATCTGGGCGGGTGCCAGGGCGTCGACGCGGGGACTGCCCGGTCGGCCCTCCTGCCGCCGCCTCGCTGTCCTCTGCCCTGCCCTCCTCCTGGTCCTCTTCCTTGCCCTTCTCCTTCTCCTCCTCCTCCTCCTCCTCCTCCTCCTCCTCCTCCTCCTCCTCCTCCTCCTCTTCCTTGTCCTCCTCCCGACCCTCCTCCTGGTCATTTTCCTTGTCCTCCTCCCGGTCCTCTTCCTGGTCGCTCTCCTGCTCATTCGCCTCCTCCGCCTTCTCCTCCTCCGCCTCCGCCTCCTCCTTCTCCCCCCCCTTCTCAGCCATCCGCCCAGAGATCCAACGCGGCCCAGCAACCGCCGAGAGAGCCACCGAGATCCTCGGAGCCTCGATGCCCATCCCTGGCGCGCCGGGATTCCGCTGTGCAGCGCCATCTCGCCCCCTTATCTGGGGCGTGGGGGGGCGCGGGCCGCCTGTCCTCGGAGTTTCGATGCTCATCCCCGGCGCGCCGAGATCCCTCCGAGGCCCCCGCCGTGCCGCGCCATGGCTGCCTCTCGAAGGGGGGGGGGCCTCCCGGCCGAAAAATCCGCCGACCCCGTCGCGGCAGGGCAGGCAGGCGAGGCGCCGCTGCCGCCGGCCTCTCGCGATGGCCGTTCTTCGCGGAGGCCTTCCCCGGCCGTGGGGCACCGGCTGTTGTCCCCTCGGAGCTTCGTCGCGCTCGTGCTCCATTTTCTGCACCTCCTCCTCCTCCTCCTCCTCGTCCTCCTCCTTCGTCATCCTGCTGGTCCTCCTCCTCCTCCTCCTCCTCCTCCTCCTCCTCGTCCTCGTCCTCCTCCTCCTCGCCCCCCCTCCTCCCCCCTTCTCATCCTCTCCCATCCTTACTCCGAATTCCCCAAGCAGCGCTTGCACTTAGGGGTCCGTACGTTACTTCCATGTTAAAGAACTGGGCTGGTGTGGCGGTCTGGCGGTTATGTTGTCGCCGCCCCGTCGCCGCCTATCGTCTGGGCCGGCGTGGCAGCCTGGCGCATACGTTCTGGCCGTCGCCATCCCGTCGCCACCTCGCCGCCGCCCGTCGTCTGGGCCGGTGTGGCGGTCTGGCAGCTATGTTGTCGCCGTCGCCGCCTCGTCGCTTCCCTGGTTTCTCCTTGTCCAAAAAACGTTAAGTGCTTCCCCCACCCTGGGTTCGCGGTTCCCCCTGGGATGCTACAACTTACATAATATGCTGCCCCATCGTTAGTTTTGAATCTGAAGTCGTACTATCCAGGCAGGCAGGTATCCCCCCGCCACCGTGACGAACAATTTTACCGCGCGCCCGTGTATTAAAAACATACGTGTTCAAGAACCAGTGAAACAGTTTGACAAAGTCCCGTCATGCGCGCGGCGTCGCGCGCACCTTCAAACAATCTTGGGGTGTTTCGTGCAAATATCAATATCGAGGTTCCCGACAACAAGTAAAACGGCCCAGTGGGTTTGCAACATGGTTTTTTTTCAAACAAACATATACGCTCGGGCTCGCTTTTGCGAATTTTACGCACATCGTGCGTTTTTCTCGATATATCTGTCGAGTGCGACAAAGCGGGCCTGTCTCGCACGCGTGTCGATATTCTTCGAAGGACCTTTGCTGGGTGGGCACGATCCCTACCAAAAAAGCACCATGCGGGCCAATCACGCCCGTCGGCCGCGCGCGCATGTCAAAATCCTTTCGAAACCTTGATCACCGACGCGTGGACGCCTTCATGGTCACCGGCGTGATCAGCATCGGCGCCGCCATTGGCCTCGCCATCGTCATCGTCATCATCGTCACCAACATCACTACTACATCATCGTGTCTACCGTTGTCGGCGTCGCCATGATACCGCGCCCGCCCAGATCACCGACTCGCACTGATGTGCCCGCGCGGCCGACCGACATCGCAGCGCGGTTTGCGAGACATGCTGAGATGTCCCGAGCGGTCAGCGCCGCATCGGCCGCGTCGGCCGCGCCAAACTAGTTGTCCGCACTGCGCACAAGACTGCGTGCGCTAGCACGGCCGCAGCGGTGCGCCAACCAGCATCAAGTAGGCGCCGCAATAACCACCGCATGGGTTTTGCAAACCAAATTGCGGCTGGGTTGGTGGGATGATTGCGCGGGCAGTGGAGTTGACAATGATTGCGCTGGCAGTGGAGTGTACTGCACATAAATTGGACTACGAAGATGGTGCCACACACATTGCACAACATATATGGCACGACATATGTTGCAACACGCAAGTGGTACAATATACATATATATATATATATATATTGCACCTCGTAGTCATCACATATGTACTACACTACATAGATTGCACCACGTAGGCCGCACTACCTAGATCGATCCTCAACTATTGCCCGCTAAGATCGTACACTGCATCTGTTACCGCATATATGGCATCCCATAGACTGAAATGTCCGTACATACTTTGCAGCACATCCGCTGCATTATTTAGACTGCACCACATGTCCTGCACAGCATGGATTGAATGCTATGTTGTGCACAGCATGGGTTGCACAGAATTGATTGTACCGCGTGGAATACATAACAGAAGCTGAGCCGTACGGATTGCACCATACATATTGCACCACCTATATTGCACGACGTAGACTTCATCACATCGTTCGCGCCAGTAAAGCTGCACTTCACAGCTCGCACACCATATTGTGGGGGACGCATGAGTTGCATCACGTAGCTTGCACAACCACTCTTGCACAACATGGGGTGTGCACGCCATAACTTGCACGACGTAGACTACACCACACTGGCGTCTTCACATACATTGCACAACGTCGACAGCACACCACGGGTTGATAAAAAACAACCTGTTTGGGACCTGCGATGGTGAACGTAAGGAGATCTATTCTCAGTTTGCCAGATAGCCGGCCCATGCACAGAAACACCGTCCAGGGAGAGAACTCCTACACGTTTGTAACATTGAAAACCTACGTTCTAGCTCTACACGTCGGTCGGAAAAAGTAGGTAAAATCATGAAGTAGGAAGGCGGATCAAGTAGATTGGGTTCGGGCCCGCCCAAAGAATAACAAACAACAGCCAAACCATATCGATTATTGAAGTAGGAAGGCGCTTGAAGTAGATTGGGTTCTGGGAATCCAGAAATACCTACTTTCAACGACCGACGGGTAAATATGTACGCGCCGGTGGCAAAGAGTGGAATCGAGCGCACATCCCATGCCGGAGGGGCGAAGTGTCGGTCTCGACTCGGCGCTGCGCTCCTGCTCCCGGGGCACGGCGCGCGGCTCTCGCGCGCCGTGTTGCGCCACCAGAGCAGCATATGTCTCGCTCTCGCCTCGGTGCCACGCGGGTGTCGCCTCGAAATGGCGCGCCCGCCTCGACGCGGCGCTCACCGCTCACTCGCCAAAATTTGGGCCCCGCGCGAGCGGCTGACTTGCCGCCACTATGGACCAAGCTCTGCGTCCATGGCGCTTGAAGTGGCGTTCTCGAGCGGGCGCGCCGCGTGCTTCGTTCCGCTGGATCGCATGAAAACGGCAGCGGCCGAGGGGGCGCGCGAGGGCGGGCGAAATGCGGTCCGCGCAAGCACCGCGCAGCTTGCGCGCGAAAGTGGCAATCGTATTTCGTCGCAGCGCATGCTTCGTCCTCGCCGCGCTCATCGGATGTGTGCGGCCCGCGTAGTCTTCGCTTTGCTCTTCCTTCGCCGTTTCCTCCTCCTCCTCCTCCTTCATCCTCCTCCTCCTCTTCCGCCTCTCCCTCCTCCCTCCAACCTCATCCCCCGTCCTCCTCCTGTGCCTCCGTCTCACCATCTTTGCTGTCTGCCTCATCATCATCCTCCTCTTCGTCCTCCTCTTACCTCTGACCTCTTCCTTGCCAGCCTCCAATAAGGGAGAAGAGCTGGACTGGCTGGCCTCCTCCTCCTCGCCCTCTTCCTTCTTCTCCCACGCCTATGCCTCCCCCTGCCTCCTGCACTTCTAGTTGCGAGCACGACTTCGACATTAGTAGAATTGCTGGAGAGGAGAAGGGGGAGGATAAGGTAAGATAAGACACGATTGCGACCATCGTCCTGGCTCCCTGCTGCTACAAGCGATAGAAAGAAGCGGTGCCTGGCATGTAAAGGTGGTGGATCTGCGTCAACCCTCCAGCGGGAGACCTGCTATCGGCGACCCTGCAGAGCGGATGGCTTCGGGTCAGCCTCGGGCCTCCCTTAGGGGACACCTGAAGGCCGAGACCCGGCAACGTCGACTGAACAATGAAAAGCACACGAGAGACACATCATCCCGCATGAATGGTAGGAGGTCGGCAATACTACCAATGTGCACAAAAGCAGGGGGGCTCAGAGAGAACATGACTCTACCCGCAGGCTCGCTATCATGAAGCGTTGGTCCTCTCATCGCTGCCCCCTTGCACCTGGTTCGCTGACGGCTCGGCTCGATGAGACACGGGCGCGAGCGAGGCCTGTGCACGATCACTGGCCGCGACCAGCTGTGTGCTGACATTGTGCAGTCTAACGCCCCGAACATTCGCTGAGTGGGTGGCGAGAGCAAGCAATGATACGTCAAGCTCAAGTGGAGGGGCATGGAACATGTGGAAGAGCTGGCCAGAGGGAGTGGTATACTGGAGGATGGGGGCGGGGGAACGTTTTTGCAGCGCAGTCAGCCCTTGGTGCTGGAGTAGATGCTGGCGAGCCATCATCGTCATTCTCTTCGAGCCTGCAATATGAGTTAGAACTGCGATGCTTCTTCGTCTCTGTCCACCGCCATCTCGGTCGGTCCCTTCTGCACGCCAATCTTGCCAAACAGCTTCTCGGTTTCCCTCTCGAGGCCACCCCTCGGTGGACCCCCTGGCTTGAACTTGCCGCCCACGGCGTGGAGAGACTCGCAGACGGCCTGGTGCACCGTGCCCACGACCTGGCTGTTCCATGTGATCTGGGCGGTCTGGAGCTGCGCCGACAGCATGATGTGTAGCTTGAACTGCTTGGGCTTCTCGCCCTTTTTCTTGCTGCAGCACGTGAGCCTGATGCGACAGTGCCTCACTTGGTCTTGCAGGCTCTGCAGGCTGCATTTGTCTCCACTGATGTTCACGTCCCAGTAGACCTGGAGTGCCTGCTTGGAGGTCGGCGGCGTCTGAGTGTGCTCGAGTAGGGCTTGCAGGAGAGCCAGCCACATGTGAGACCAAGGAGGGAGGGAAGAGGGGACAAGGAGTGGGGGAAGGACGAGGAATATAAGTAAGAGGACTCTTGGAGAGGCGACGCCCCTCCAAGGTTTCAGCTACGTCTTGAAATAAGAACGCGTCCTACGAGCCCGCAAGGGACAACCTCGGGTCCTGAGATAGCATCAGATTGACACCCCAAGAAGGGGGCCACGCGGACTGCATGGACCTCCTCCCCGATGCCTTGTACCAGGATCCTGTGAACTCCTCCGGGCCAAAAGTATTTCAATCTACCTCGACGTCGTCGTCGTCGTCGTCGTCGTCGTTCTCCTCCTCCTCCTCCTCCTTCCACAGCCGACGAAGGGGCTGCTAGAGGGTTGTTCCAGGCCCAAGGCGTCCCATGTTTCTCGCAATACTTCGGAGCTGCCGGGACTCTCTGGGCCATGTGAGGGGTGCTCTTGAGACCGCGGAGGCACCCCTGGAGATCCTGGGGATGAAGGGGCCCAGGGACACACAAATGAATACACACAAAACCCGGGATGCCCCCGTATGCTCGATTTTTGTTTGGATGTTTGTCGTTCACTCTGCTTCCCAGATGTTCCACATTTTCTTAGGCAGCGACGATTATTTGTGCCTGTGTGTTTGTTTTCTTCTGAAGGGGCACCTGCCCAGACATCCGACGTCATGATGTTTGACACTACGTGTCTCCCGAGCGCTCTCGACCCCTGCCCAGGGACCGGCTTTTCATCCCGATGCGTTGTTTGATTGCCATCGGGCCCGGCAAGAGCCCCCAGATGCCAGATAGTGCCGAGAACCTTCCATCGTGATTTCTGCAAGGCGCGAGAGTGCCAGGGTTGGGCCAGGGACGCCTTTGGCAACACCCGATATCAACCACCCCCTTGCGCGCCCCGCCTCTTCTGCTCACCTTGCGTACCTCCTCCCCCCTAGCCATCTGCCCACGCCCTGTTGTGTGGTGAGGTTGGGGGGGGTTCGAGGGAGCCGCCACGGAAACGCGCCGGTTTTTTGGGGGGGGGCCGCGCTGAGTCTTCTCCTCCTGCTCCTGCTCCTGCTCCTGCTCCTGTTCCTGCTCCTGCTCCTGCTCCTGCTCCTGCTCCTCCTCCTGCTCCTCCTCCTCCTCGTCCTCCTCCTCCTCCTCCTCCTCCTCCTCCTCCTCCTCCTCCTCCCCCTCCTCCCCCTCCTCCCTCCTCCTCCGCAAGCCATCCACCCTGACATCCGACGTCGTGATTTTGTGATCTTGGCAACAGCGTGTTACCCTGGAGGTCTGGACCCCTTCCCGGGGACTGGCGTCTCATCCTGCTGGGTTGTTGTTTGACGTTCCCGGGGCCTGGCAATGGCTCTTAGTGGCCGGCCTTTCGTCGTGCCTCTTTCGCGGCGTGAGGATGTCAGGGCAGTCTTTTGCGAATTCGAAGGAAGTGGTTGCAAAGGATGTGGTTTGCAACTGGCACCCTGCGGGGCGGGCGAGGACCTCGACAGAGCTCTCCGTCGCGCCCCGAGGCCCGACGAGGACACTGTCGTGCTCCCCAGGCCCCAACGGTGCCGATCGCAGACCACACCCCGCCGTAACCATACTCAACCTGTGTAGTAAGGAGGCACGATGAGGATGCAAGGGCCTTGCAGGTCTTGTCGACACTTTGCCAGCGGGGCGCGGCCAGCGAAAGTGGCCAAGGACGGGCCGAAGAGGAAGGATGCAATGGTAACCTTGGAAAGCCGCTCATCCTTACTGTGCGGGTTGAATCTAAGACCCGTTGCGCTCAAGTCCCATTTCCTTCCATGGCGAGTTTTCAGCTGCGGGGGCGCAAACTCGGGAGATCGCCGAATGCTGTATTGCGCGATCGGCTCTGATGTTCCCCGCCGTGCAGGGGCTCGAACAGGGTCGCGGCGGCCAATTTGTACTGCCCCCCTTGGCCTCTGGAGGCCGGCTTCGGGTTCTGGGCCGTCAATCGACAGCTCCGGATGAAAAGCCGGCCCCGGTGAACCTTGGAAAGTCGCTCGTCCTTACCATGCGGCTTGAGTCTACAATCCGTTGCAGGGCACTCTGCTGTCTGGCTTCGCTGGCCACTCCGGGCATCTTCGGCACCGAGCCGGGAGGCGCCCTGGCATGCAAAAAGCCTGCTCGGGCGGCGGCCGGCGGCCCAAAAAGGCCGGACACCGCTGGCCAGAACAGCCTCGAGACGGCGCGGGGGAGAACGAGCAGGAGGAGGCGGCCGAGGAAGAGGAGGAAGAGCAGGACGAGGAGGAGGAGGAGGAGGAGGAGGGCCGAGTCGGCCGCAGAGTGGGCGTCCGCGACTCGGCGCAATGCCTCTGGCGGGCAACATGGTTGTTGGGCGCTCGACTGTTCGCTGGGTCGGGGTGGTGGTCCGCCGCGTGGGGTCCAAAGCTCCAAGAAACATACATCAGATGCGTGCGAGGAGAAGTTTTGCTGCGAAAAGGAATCTGGGGGCGCACTCGTCGTCTTTCTCTGACCTTCCCAAGGTGCCCCAGGACCTCTGTGGGCCCATGGGGCCTCTGTGGGATGAGACACTCTTGTGGAGCATTGCTGGTAGGCTGGGTTCTCATCTGATGCCCCTACTGTAGAGCCGACGGCAAGAGAGAAAAGAGACACGTCCTCCTCGTCGTCGTCATCCTCGTCATCCTCGTCATCGCCATCTTTCGTGGTCGTCACGCTCGCCCTTCTCCTCGACTCGTCCTGCTCGCCCGTCGCGTCCAAGCTTCCCTCCGCCTCCTCCTCGCTTCCTTCCTCCTCCTCCTCCTCCTCCTCCTCCTCCTCCTCCTCCTCCTCCTCCTCCTCCTCCTCCTCCTCCTCCTCCTCCTCCTCCTCCTCCTCCTCTCTTCCTTCCTCTACCTCCCTCCTCCATCCTCCCTCGTTGTTTTCCTCCTCCTCCTCCTCCTCCTCCTCCTCCTCCTCCTCCTTCTCCCCGCCAGTCCTCCTCCTCCGTCTTCGGCTTCTCCTCCCGTCCTTCTCACCAGGCTACTGCAACGTCTCAACCTCCTCCTCCTCCTCCTCCACGTCCGTGGCCGCCTCCTCCACTCCCTCCCCCTCAGCATCCTCCACTTCGTCCCCGCCTGCCCCCCCCCCCCCCCCAACACAACACCTCCAACTCACATCAGGAGGGGAAAGCAAACACAGATACAAATAAACGTCGATTCCCAGGAAAAAATGGCAAATCATGGAAAATGAAGGGGAAGACGAGAATCCAGGAACTATGGAAACATGTTGGGAATCCTGGGAATTGTGTCTATCTATTTGTGCGTCCCTGGGCCCCTCCGCCCGAGTCTGGCCGGAATCTCGCCTCGCCGCGTCGCCCTCTCCGCCAACTGCTCGGTCCTCCAACCCCCCCTATCTGGGAAAACCCAGAAAGGTACCGATGCCGCTATACTCCTCGGACCTCTCCCGAGGTGCCTTATGCCCAGGATTTCGAGGCGAATCCAGCGGTGGCGACGAGGGCCTCCCAGGAGGCCCCCAAGGGGGAAAACGAGGGGAAGGGTAGCGATATGGGTACTCTTCTCGGGGGCGCGCAAACATGGATTGGCGATCCATGGATCTGGCGCGCGGTCGCCATATCCATGGATCGGCTCCCCAAAGTGCGGCCCGTGCCGCCTGGCTCGGCGGCGGGAATCCGCGATTTACCCATGGAAACGGGAACCGTCGCTAATCCACGCCCCCTTGATCCATGTTTGCGATCGCCTGGGTATGGGAGTATGGGTACCTTTCCCTCCTCTGGGCATCCGCCCCTCGTCCCCCTTGGCTCCGTCTCCGGCGCCCTCTCTGACCCCCCTTCGCTCCGTTCCTCTCCGCTTGCCTGCCCTGCCGCAACCCCCGACACGTCGCGACTCTGCTCGCAGCGTGGACATCCAGAAGTCTCGGCCGCAGTTCATGCAGGGACCGGTTATTCAGAGCACCGCATCGCCAACAGCATGCGAGCTGCCCAAACTACGGAGAGGACGCTGGATAAGGAACGAGAAGGAATCCAGGGACTGGAGGCCAGTGGGACTTCATTCGTAGAGTGGCCATGGATATCACCGTCGCCCTTATCAGAAGGATTCCCTCAGGGTCTGACGCCTCCTGGGCATGTTCCTTGACCAACGCCCCCACCGATCACCATGCGCCTTCACTCCTGGTCGCAAACATCTGGGCGCCTGTTCCTTAAAGCTGTGACCGAGCCAGCAAATTGCCTCCATCCGTGACTGTGCGCTCTGGCCAAGGGGATCTGCAGCAGCACTCGGGATGCACAGGCTCTTCGCTCCTGCATCACGAATCACTTATTGCCAATCCCAGCGCCCAGTGGGAGCCCCAAATCCCAACAACACCTTCCGCCCTGACACGCTGGTTGGACCGGCAGCGGCGGCGTCGTCGTCGTCGTCGCCGTGGCCGTCGTCGTCACCGTGGCCGCCGTCGTCGCCGTGGCCATCGTCGTCGTCGTCGTCGTCGTCGTCGTCGTCGTCGTCGCCGTGCTCCCCGTCCTGCTCTCTGCTGCCCCGCGCTGCCCCCTCCCGCTCCCTGCTGCTCTCTGCTGTCCTCCCCCTTCTTCGCGACGCGAGGGGGTTCGGGCCCGGGGTCCCAAATCAATCCCCAGACCTGCTCGTTGGTGAGCTCCGAGGCAAGCCAAGCCGTGGCCAGCACTTCAGGGCGGCTCCAGCCGTGGTCGGGGGGATCTGACCCGGGTCAATCCAGACCCGGGCCAGTCAGGCCTTGCAGACACCTGCAAGATCCTGCACCCAAGCCCGGGTCAACGCGAAGAATCCTGCAAGATCCTGCAGGATCCTGCACCCAGGCCCGGGTCGATGCGACCCTGGCCCTGCAGGATCGTGCAAGAGCGGGCGCTCTGGCTGACCCCCGTTTGCCCCGACGTGGTCCTCACAGTGCGAGTCTGGCCCTCGAACCTCGAGGAGGGGGGTCTCTGGGCCTCTCCCTCCGCCCCTCGCCCTCTCCCTCAAGACGACGCCAGGACGAGGATCACATCGGGCGAGGGTCCATCGGGGATCTCTGAGATCCGGCCGCTCCGGAGGATGCACCGGGCTCCGCGGTCTTCTGCCAGAGCGTTCCAGAACGGCTTGCTCCTCGTCCTGGCTTCGCCCGATCTCCCTCTCCCTGCTCGTCCGGCCTCTCGGGGCACCAGGCCGTGCGGGCCCGGGCCACGGCTTGCGCGCGCGCGATTACGCGCGCGCGCGCTGCGGGGGCGCTGCGGGTCGCCTGCGGAGGCGCGTTGGCGCCGTCGGTGGCGGCGTCCGCCATCGGCGGGCGAG